AAATATGTTTACTGACAATAAATTGCGATTTTTATTAAAAATTCATAAGTTATTAAAATATTATAATATATAACTTATATAATATAAAACAAAGCACAATAAACTAATCATGATTCTATTTTGTTGTGAATGACCAAGAAAATGTACCCTTGATTAAAAGTCAATATCAGGTAAATGTACCCAGATAGTATTACTCCCTATTTTAAATGCTTATCAATTGGTGGAGCAGTTGTTTCACAGTATAATACATTCTAAACGTACTCACAATTTGTTATTTATTTTACAATGATTTTGGTATAAGAATTAATTTATGTAAATTCATTTAACATGACATCACATTAAACCATTGATTGTATGTTATTTTTATATCAAATTTAATTAATAAATATGAAAATACATCTATCTCTTATAATTGTTGTTTTATAAATTTTAAAATCACACTGGTAGTTTTAAGTTTATGCAAAACACTTATTTGGAATTGCAATTATTTAAATTAAAATTAAATATTGTTTTAATAAAGTTTAAAAGTTACATGGGTTTAATTATATAATAGTATTTTAATGAAGAATACTTGCAAAATGTCATCGCAAACAATGTCCATTAGATATCGGTATTTCTTGACATTTGTGATCTATTTTTGTTATATATTTTATGTAAGTAAAAAGCTTTGAGAATTATTAATCAATTGCAATGCATTCACAACTATTAATAATTTGTTTTAAAAGACAATACAAAACTTCATAATGGGTCCGGCATTACCTGAGTTACAGGTTATATACAGCGCTAGTGTTCAACAGATTTCAAACACACAGACCATTGCCTCCGCTTTCTATTTGGTTGGATCTCTCAGTAAATATTATTGATTATTACTTACAAAATATTATAAAATTCTTGTTTAACTAATTAATAAGCTTATATAACAATATGTTATACATACAATTTATTATGTTTTAGCTGGGCCATTTTTCAATAGAATTAATAAACAGATTGGTTATATGATATGTCAGTTAATGATAGGCATATGTGTCGCTAGCATGACATACGCCCGACGATTGGATGTATTGTACGTATTGTACGCCATCATTAACATAGGCTGCGGAGGAATAGACTCCGTGACCAACGTATGGATAGTGGAGATGTGGGCCGACAATTGCGGGCCCTATACTCAGGGATTGCAGTTTGTGATGAGTATCGGAGCGCTTATATCGCCTCAAATTATAAACCCATTTCTACCAAAACAAGAATTTATATCCGGAGCTAACAATAACACAGCTTTTATAAACAGCACATTGAATGGCACAGCAATTAATGATTTAACCACTCAATCATCATATTTTACAAAATCTACAATTAATATCCCGTTTACATTCATCGGAGCTATTATTGTATTTAACGGTCTATTCATAGGGTGTTTAAATTTCTACAAGAAATATATTCCTCGAGAGATTGGGACAAAATCTAATGAAGCGGAAGGCAGTAAAACTTCAATAATTACCATGATCAGACAAAAGTTTAAAACTGAATTAATGCCAACAAAGGCTATACTCGCTGTCATATTATTATCAGTAATTCTGATTGGATTGGTTGGCGTTATCGCAAACCTGTGGACTTTTTGGCCACTTTATGCCGCGTCCAGTGGTCTCCATATGAGCAACGAGTTGGCCGACAACATCAATACCGTACAATTGGCCGCCACTACCGTCAGTCAGGCCATAGCCATACCGCTATCCCGTTATTTGAGCCCTTTTAATATGTTATACTTTTGTTATATAACTCAATTAATTGCNAGAAATAGACTTTAAGCACAACAGCTATAACAACTCAATCAATAAAATATTTTTAAAAGCACCATGCTACATATTATACAATATTTTACTCAATATAATGTTATAAAAATAAAAAGATTGTTTTTGTAAATATTTCTGAGATATAAAATTGTTTATTAGAAAACATGGTACAAAATTACTAATTATTTATTAGTAAATAATCACTATTAATGAAAACCAATAAAATATTATTTGTTTCGCAAAAACATCATAAGAGATGAAATAATGTGCGGGTAATTGTTGTTAACCAATGCCATACATAACAAATCCTTTTGCTGTATTATAAAGGGCTTATGTTTGACTTACCAATCAAAAAGTCATTAACATTTGTATTTAATAATTTCAACTATTTTAAAACTTTATTTTATATAATAATTGTCAATATACAATAAATACTGGACTTACATAAAGAAAGTATGCGATACACATCATGACGGTTAAGAAAGCCCTGTATCTCTTTGATATGGGACTTATGTGTTGACTTTCCATTATTAACAGTTATATCACTTTGCAAAGTATGAAATTACAAAAAAATGTGTTAAATGTTGTAATTTGTATGAATATTAGCAAAAAACTGAATGAAATATTTGTAATGAGTAAATATATAAATGCATTATTATTTTTTCAGTTGTTTATTATAATTACGAGAACGAGTATTAACGAGTCATTTGCAGTACTTTCTTGGTATGGATTGATACTATGATTTCTTTAATTTTTATTAGTTTTTTTATTAACTAATTAGTTATTTATGGTAATTGTTTGCAATTTCATTAAATTGTCTGTACTGTAAGATTCGTAAGTCAAACACAAGCCCTTTATAATACAGCAAAAGGATTTGTTATGTATGGCATTGGTTAACAACAATTACCCGCACATTATTTCATCTCTTATGATGTTTTTGCGAAACAAATAATATTTTATTGGTTTTCATTAATAGTGATTATTTACTAATAAATAATTAGTAATTTTGTACCATGTTTTCTAATAAACAATTTTATATCTCAGAAATATTTACAAAAACAATCTTTTTATTTTTATAACATTATATTGAGTAAAATATTGTATAATATGTAGCATGGTGCTTTTAAAAATATTTTATTGATTGAGTTGTTATAGCTGTTGTGCTTAAAGTCTATTTCTAGATCCTATACATTATTATTTGCTAATAATTCATAGTTCAATAAAATAAAAGTTTTATTACAATCAAATGTTTTTACTATTTTTTTACTACTTTAAGAATAAGTATTGATAATATTAATTAAATTGTAGATTTAAATTAAAATTGAATCTAAACATTTTAAGAAGCTGTATGTTCATTTTTGTTTACAAATTTATTTTCAATGTTATGTAAATAATAATGTTTATAACAATTTAATTTTATTATAAATATTATTTAATAACATTATTATTTATAACTTAACATTTATAAATAATAATGTTAAGCTAAACTGACTTTAGTATATGTTTTGTACGTTTGGTTATGGAATATAAAAATATGATTGTTAATTACAGATATAACCTGTAAGTGGCAGTCAAAGTGTTAAGTTATGACAATTGTGAGACTCATTCAAGCACTTAATTTAAGCCTTAATTCAAAATGTATTAATTAATATTGTTTTTTGTTCAGTCATTACAATATTATATTTATAAATTGATGTTGATGTAGTAATCCTTCAATGCAAAAATATCATGATTGGTTATACACGTATTTATATATTTGCCACATATTATTATCCCCTAAAATATGGGCCTAAAATACACTTCAAATTATTATATTTTTATACATAATTATAATTTTATTCTTAATTATATACACATTTATTATCGCAAAATAACTTTTTTATTTAAGACAAAATACATTGTATTTGTACATTAAAGCCAAAAAACAATCAACAATAAATAATTTAGATACAGTATTATATTTAAAAATTAATTAAAAAAGCAAAATATACAGTAGATAAATAGTCACAATGTTGATTTTTAAAAATTATTAGTTAAGTAATAATTTCTCTGATTTAAACAATATTATAAAAATAAAATTTAAATTATTATGTATAATTTATATTTTGCATCTATAGTTGCAATATTATTATACAGAATAATATAATGTTTTATAATTAGTATAGCATTTACTGTGATTTATTGATTTTAACAAACTTTTTAGCGATAAAATAAACAAATAGATAGACAACGACCAAAAGGATGCATACAATAAAATTAACGTAAATAAAAGCTATGGTTATATACCTTCCGACGACTTGCGAGACAATTATCCCTAAGAAACCGATGAGAAATATAAACATCGATCCCATTATGTTTGTCAACGGAGTGATCGACTCAATCATTTGACATACAGAGCCATATGTGGGGCCCATTCCCAGGCCTAACAACGCCCCACTCACCCACATTAGGGGCACAGATGTGTTGGCAAATATAAATAGCAAAATCGCCGCAATTAATTGAGTTATATAACAAAAGTATAACATATTAAAAGGGCTCAAATAACGGGATAGCGGTATGGCTATGGCCTGACTGACGGTAGTGGCGGCCAATTGTACGGTATTGATGTTGTCGGCCAACTCGTTGCTCATATGGAGACCACTGGACGCGGCATAAAGTGGCCAAAAAGTCCA